GGCTCGGTTTTAGGTACGTAGTTTATTATCAATAAATGTATGCTACCATTTATCTTACAGATAACCTATCCATTATCTTAACTCTTCTCTTCTTAAAGTTATCATCCATATATTAAACTGAGACTTGCTTTTATAATATCAATGTATGAATTGTCTAGGATTTTTTATTTAGTACATATATCTAAGGTAAAAGAAAGGTCATTGCAAGTTGCCTGAAAAATGGAAATAAGTCCAAATATGCCAGAGAAAGAAACCAAATGAGGGATCAAACTAATCAGTTTGGTAAGATCTTGTTTACATTTCTTAATTATACATATTATAACCAATAGTTTGTCTGTAATATGGAGTTGTTGCGAGCACAATAGCTCTATTGGCATAACATTTAGCAACTATATTAACTCACATTATGCTTATAAATTTCAGCTGAGGGCTTCTCCCAATTGAGCTCTGCACTGGTTGCATCTCTGGCAGCACCCCACCAAGCCCCTACACCTGCCCCTGGTCCGAGCGACCAGTTTTCTGCATTTGGGGATACTATTGTGCAGAGATTGAGAGCGATGGATGAGACTGACGCTCTCAGTGCAATGGCGCAAATTTCGGCCATTATTTTTGCTCCTATAAGGGCCAAGAACAGTTATTTCAACCTAGGTTAAATTAATTTATTTATTTATTGATATTGATATTATGTAAATTAACTTCTATCATTTTTATTAATCTATTTAAATCATAAATGTTGTTTGTTTCACTTGCTATTCAAAACAAAATATGGCTATATTATTATCCTTAAATAGTTCACAAACTTCAAGCCTAAATATTCTATCCCTTGAAAAAGTAATGACAACCTAAGAACCTAGATATCAGATAATAAAACATTGGCTCTTGAAATGGGAACCCGAAAATGACTCAATGCAGCTCCTCAATAAAATGGCTAATCGTGTAATCAATGTGTAGTGTAATAGCGTTGTGATCATTAGTGTTATGATGATATGCGTTAGGTAATCCCAGAAACATTTAGGACAAGGAAATGCAATTATAGTATTGATTACAACCGCAGCGACTGTATTATTTGAGTGAAATAAAAAAAATTCGTGCGCAAGTTCACGAATTTTTTTAGCCCGAATATTTCAGTCGAAGTGAAAAATTTGGGTTAAAAATTCGGGCAAATTTTATTCGGGTGAAAAATTCGGGTGAAAATTCGGGCATGGAACTTAGGGGTTACCTTCTTGCTCGTGGTTGAGAACATTATATCATGCTTGGTTGGCTTCTCAAGTTGTGTAGCTTAGATGGCTGTAGCAATCATAGCAAGTTCGCAATGGCCACGTTTATTTAAGACATTATTAGCAAAACATAGTAACTTTCTTATTCGAAGTTATTTCTAATTCTATTTTGATAGCGATAATTTGGATCACCTCCACAGTATCTAACTCAAGCTAACAAGCTGAGAAAATAACAGGGCTGCAAAATGTTCGCTGTAATATGTAAATTGACCTGAGACTATACCAGAATACCACTAGACTACTATCGAAACAGCATGATACATTCTTAACTGCCCATTTTAAGAGTTACTTAAGTTTTGATGGCGGAGATTTGGGTCACATTCCACAAATATTCGAGGCTATTATAACTCTGGTAATATCTTTTTCTGCCCTCTACCAACTTTACTAAACCATATCAACAGTAAATAAGCAGTTTCCTTCCTTTCGAGTATAGCGGCACGTCGCCAAAACTCATACAAGTGATTGTTTGTTCCCAGTAAACAACGACTTGGTCCTCATTATTAAAGCAAGCTTCTAGTTTCGGGATAGCCTGTAGCAGGCAACGCCCGATACTAATGCTTCTACAGACCTACACAAGTGCAAGTAAGTAAATATTTCATTCTAGGCATATGGCACCCATTATAATTACGGTAACCATCCATTATAGTTTTTGCTTTTCGCTGTACTACATTGCACATTTACCCTCACGATTTCTCGAGTATTCGGCTGGGTGGTCCTCAACAAAACATAAATTTTATACTCAACAAAACATAAACCATTTATGATGTTCATGTCACCGACAATTTATGATAAATTGTCGGTGGCATGAACATCATGAAAAATATTATTATAAATTGAATTTATGATGAATAATATTTTTCTGAATCCAAGTTTCGATAAATATGTAAATGCCATGTCACTCAAAAACTTTACTTTAAATTTGGTCACAATAATTAGCTGAGCTAGAAGAGAGCACTGTATATAAATAATTAATTACTAATTACACTAATTACACGTGATAACAGCTTGGGCACTACACTCAGAGATTAAGTGTAACAATCCACCCCACACAATTTAACACATGTGTCTAATACCTCCACACGTGTAACTTAATGTTTTAATCTTCCTAGAAGCCAAGTAATTAGACTTTGTCTATTATAATCCAATAGATCCACTCTAATCTTAAATGTACCACCGGAACCACAAATTCTACCAATCAGAGACTAGTAAATACAGCACGTGACAAAACTCCACCAATCCTTGATAATGAGAGGACATCCCGAAACTGTTCGTTTCCTCGGCACATTGAACAATCTGACACTAATGTCAGTCCCACCATATATCCTGTATCCAGCCGACGTGATTAAATACTGCACTGTGGTTGATTCACGTGATACCTAGAATGGCTCTTAATGGTCGGATTAGGATGTGGTGCAGTTTTTCATCACTTAAGATCCATATTTCAGCACCTTGTGTAGACTCTATATATATAACCATGTATCTTTACAATTTTAACTGATTCTAGGTATTGAGGTGAACGGCAACTTACACACTTGACTGCGTGAAGTTTTGATAAAACCTGAAGAAAGAAAAGGCCATAACTTAGATGAAATTCTAGGAGGTGATTCATTAAAAAGATGCTGCAGGAATAAAGCCACGTAAAACTTTAAAAAATTAAAATAGGTTGAATTTATTAAAAATACCACGAGAAGAGTTTGACTAGATCTACTATATGGACACGTTCATTTGAGTTTGAGGATATTGGTAAACAAAAATAATAGCGTTTTTGACGATAGTGGCTTAATTTTGACATCTATCAACCTAGCACGTTCAGAATTTCTGAACATTAGCCACGTAACCCATACTCCCATATGCACCGCTCAGAAAGAAAATCTATTGTTGTTAGGCACTATAATGTTTCAAATGTCACATTTTGTGTGACTTAGTTAACTGCAGTTGTCTAATTATCATTCCTTGGTCTGAAATATAGTAAATTAGGTCAATCTAACAATTATGATACAGCATTGGTTAATGGGCACGGATCGAACGGTTACAAGGCAATATTTAGGTAACTTTGTCACACTCATGATACCATACCTCTATTTTACTGTGAGGTGTCCTAAAAACCCTTTCAACTCATTATTTGATGGTTGCTCTACCAATCATAGCCCTAAAATATGCTGTTTTGTCACTTTTGAAAAGTTAGCAAATACATGCACTTGGTTATTGGGAAATGAGGTTAATTCTGTCACAATATATGAAATTTTAAATTTTGGGCGAATTATTTATATCTGATTTTGGTTTGAAAGGCGGGAAAATTTTATATGATGACAATGTAGTTGATGCAAGTTAAGATCAGTTGATGTTTACATTGTCACAAAAAATTATACGAAATCGCAAATAGATTAAAAACAATGAATATAGAATAAAATAGTCTCTTATAATAACTCTTATAATAACTGATGTGACAAAGTAAACATGTCTTGCCCCTATTTCTATACCTCTATTAGAATATTGTCCAGAACATCAGAGCTTAAGTTTAACAATTTTAGGTTAAATTTGTCAAAGTCACTGAAAATGTGACAAAATTAACTTTTCATGCCCCAACAATTTCAAGATAGTGTGTAAAAATTGGCATAGGATGCTTTATTACAGGTATATTAAAGTATTAATCGATCCAAACTACGAAAAATATCTTTTAATCTGATGACGATTACATAAGTCCTATAATAACTGATGTGACAAAGTAAACATGTCTTGCCCCTATTTTGAAGAACTATACCTCTATTAGAATACTATGTAACTTCATCATCTAAAAAATTTCGATAAACTAGTTATTTTGCCAGCAAGGAGCTAACAGAGTTATAATAATTTTGTGTGACGAAATTACCCTAGTTTTGACCATGTAGCGGTAGTTTAATTGTGACACTGTTAACATATTACCACCTGATAATGATTTATGTGACTGGTGCTTGGTACTAGCAGTGTTGTTTGATCCATAGTACGTATAATATTTAAAGGGGTTTGAGCTGGTATATCATTATTTGTTCAAATTCACACAATATGTTCAGATATCATCAAGATTATGTGACAAAGTAAACTTGGTTGTGCCTTCTGTGTTTTAATTCCTTACGACTATATGATATAATAACAATTCCCAGCACTTCCAGGCCATCAACTAAACTTACACTACTCAGCATTGCTTATCAGGGTGCCCTAAACATTCATCTCATATTTTCTTTAATGTGTGACAGAGTAAACCTGAATGCACCATCTAACGAAAAAAGTCGTCAAATATGTAGGTAATGGTCATATGTACCCATCCAATCAACTGGACACTCAAAAATTTGGTCAAAAACGGCAGCAAGGGGTCCATATTTACTCCGTCACATGTTTATAGTGTGACAATGTAACCATTTCCGTGCCGGCCGTATTTAAGCGATATCTTATCACCTGATTAAGATATCGTTATGTGACAAAGTTAGCCTAGAGGATGAGACGATTATCCTAACCATCAAGGGTTTAAATAATTTCATAGTGTGACAAAGTCAACTACACTGTGCCTTTTGATAGGGTCACTTATATTTACCAATATCCTCAAACTCAAATGAACGTGTCCATATATAACCGGCCCTTATTACTTGAGGTGAAACAAAAATTACTCTAGTATTAAAAAACTTAATTAATCAATTGATTAATCAATTAATTATTAATTAAGAATAAATACTAACCCTGATTGTTTCTCGTCTGGTCCATCCTGCTACACGCCTCTTCAGCCTCGCACACAGCAGTAATAATGTGTCTCTGTAACTTGTCCAGATATCTTGCAACATGGTACTGGTTCATCTCACGTGATAACATCAGCTGCAATGAAACAATATTAAAATATCTTTATAGTTGTCATTTGTTATTTTTATTTGCTTTTGTCATGTGTTATTGTAATTATCATGGCGAGTAGCAAGGAAGATCCGTTTGGAGTCATTTAACTTCATCCCTGAGTTTCATGAAGGTATGTTTAAGTGTACTAAGACTCACAGCTGTTTTCCCCTCATTGTCACACAGTTCAATGTCTGCATCACTGTTAACCAGCAACTCAACTGCTTGCAAGTGTCCCCACATTGCTGAAAATTAAACAAATCAGTTTCCTATAATTTAAATACTTAAATATAACAGAAGCGTACAATTACAAGATGATCAAAAAGCTGTGATAAGAGCAAACACTCAATAACACTGCAATGATGTACCTGGAGTATTTCCTAAAAAGAAACATCTCACTCACCAGCAATATGAAGAGGAGTTAACCCATCAAAAGCCCGGTTGTTAGGATGAGCATTTCCATCAAGCAACACAGCAACTATATCCAGAGCTTTGCTTCCTGATAGACCAACACTCAGGTGAAAGGGGGACAGTCCTCCCTTTCTCTTGAGAAGCAGGTTTGGGTTGGCACCTTCTCTTAGCAGACGTCTGACTTCTCTACAACAGTAAAATGTTACAATTTAAAAAGATTGTGACAGTCCATATTTACAGATTGAAGTGAAATTGATATACATTGTAAGAGTGAACTAACTTGGAGCTTTTTGTATGATAAAACCAGAAAATGTTTAGAAAAACCATCTATACTAAGTCAAGCTTGTACAAAAGGCAGTGACATGTAAAATGAAAGAGGCAAACATTGGGATTACCTCAAATTGCAGTCCTGAACTGCCTTGAAGAGTTCATACTCAGGTCGTCTAGTATCATCACACTGTAATCTCATGCTAAGACAAACTTTATTAGTCAGGTTAAAAATGGTGACCATCACTACCATCAACTAAATATGGCACCGAAGAATAATACAGTTTAACTCCAATGCTGCAAGACGGCCAAGACCCAGGATCATCGATGACCTCAAAGCCTATGATAGGGAGATGTTATCATGGTGTAGTATGTTGATGACAGCTCTGCTCGAGTTGTGGCAGATTCTCTGAACTTCTCAAATCAGGAAATCTGTACAAATATATAGCTATTCTTTCATTGCGGACTCAGAAAGAACAGACAATTTTTTGTACACCTTGGGGTTAATATCCAAACATCAGGTGAGCATAATCTTGGAAATTTTGTTGTCTCTAAAGAATAGGGATGAGTGGTAGGGTGAGAATCCCTGCCACGTTTTTGGTCTGTTTCGCCGGGGCTCATGTCTTTCCTTGAGGGAGCATTAGTGTCTACAGAAAAACTGACAAATCCTAGCGAAGTCCAATCCGAACCACATCTTCCATCAGAGGTGGTGCTGGGTCAGCTGGTTACTGAACGGATTGGCCTGGAGAATGGCATAGTCCTGTTACTCTCAAGTTAACCATAGAGGGGGTCAGGCGCTGTTCGCTCACCGCTGGTTCTTGGAGCCAACACCCTCAGCCCCACAGAAGTGGGAGCACTGTCAGTGGTGGCTCACCCAGATAACGGACAGTGTCTCTCTTTCTTTCTTCTTGGACTTGCATTGTTGCTGGCGAGTCAGCCAGTAGCAATGCAGCATCTCACTCACTCAATCACCTCAGCAGTTCGGTCCCTTTTTTCATTGCATTACTTTCGCTCCAGGATAGCACTGTCCTGTCATCCCCAAGCTAACTATCGAGGTAGGGGGTCGGATGCCATCCGTCTCACCTGGTTCTTGACCTGTCGCCCTCAGACCTACAGAGGTGGGGTGCACTGTCGGTGGCCTGTCACCCAGGTTGACGGTGGTATCTCTCCCTCTGCCTCCCTTTGGACATGCATTGTTGCTGGTGAGTCAGCTGGCAGCAGTGTATCATACTATTGCGTGTTTACTAATCCCCTCTTAGCTTTCAGGCTAAACTAAAATTATAAACTAACAGAAGCAGGATAGAAGCAAGAAATCATCAGTAGCCCCTCAACTTAACGAAGACTGATATCTACCGCTCTGGTACAAGCAACTCTGATAAAGTACGACACTGCTGCTTCTCTGGGAAGTCAGCACCAACAGAAATGGGGACACTCTCTGATATGAGTGCTGGAATTCTCAGCCGTTTTACTCTACAGGCTAAGTTTCTTGTTATAATTCTATTGCTCTGTTCTTTCATTTGTATTCTGTCTCACTCTACTGCATATTGTAGATCGTCAGCATTCATAGAACCAGGGTCTCAGTTACAGTCCTTCTGTTAGTTGACTAGACACACTTTTTGCATCATCTTTCGGTTTTTGACGGCGTTTAGAAAACTTCTTGTTTTCTCGATCGTTACTTGCCTCCGTATTGGCTGCTAAACTAAAATTATAAACTAACATTCGGTCCACCCCCTTGTGTGTATACTAACACCCCTAGATTCCCAGGAACAGGCATAAATATCTACGGAAATCAAAGCCAAACAGACAGACAGCTACTCAGCCACAATGCAGGACAACAGATACTGCTCTGAACCAAGGATAAGTCTGATGGATACAGTCTCCCTAGACATTCGCACAGATTACAAGAATGCCAACATCAGACATCACGTCTCTTATTAAGACAAAGCTCAACTCTCTATCCAAGTTCCTGAAATCAGAGTTGTCTAACTGAGATTCGCAGTCAGACATGCAGTATACCCCCCTCGACCAACCCAGCTACTAATCCGTGTCTACAGGCAAGAAATTGATCTCGTCATTTGTAATATAACATGAAATATTATATACCTATTGAAATTCTCATCCTCCACATCATACAAAAGAGAACGGCCCATGGCCATACACCACATATCAAAGAGAAAGGCCTCCGGCCAGACATATCAGACCTAACATGATCTATTTTCCTTAAAAGCCCATGTTTATATAAAGTTTTAGCGTGTAAAATTGATTCACTTTACTTACTTGTTTATAAATTTTACCTCGAACCATGCTTTCACAGAATTAAAATATTACCACACGACAGGGCGACAGTTTTCCAAAACTGGTTACATTCTTCCCTCAAGGCGCAGCTCCTACACCTGGTAAATTCCACTCTAATAGCACAACCTCTCAAACAGACTCACCGAAGTAATCTTCAGCCATCAAATGCGAAGGGACTATAGCACCGCTTTCAAACCTGATCATGTTACAAGGCATGACTTTTCTGCCACTACTTCATCATTATAGATTAGTGATTACTTAGTGTGTAGATGAAACGATATGAGTGTAGCACACACTGGCTTATCAATGAATGATTGATTCATCCTATCAGCGTTATCTTGATTCGAATTTAGATTGCTATATTAAATTTTTCCTATATTCTACGTAACGCGCGAACGCCATTTGAGCACAGTATGTGCTAATGATCTCGCTGTCGATCCTTTAATACGTTTTGCGCGCTGCGCTAGCTACTCTGGTAGCGCGCATGGCGGGTAATTTTATTATCTATTGTTTCAACTTTTTATTCAGTTTTATTCATTTAAACGATGTTAATCATTTGAAACGACTTTACTAAAATTTGTCAACGAAGAAGAACTCTAAATTGTTACCACAGCAACCATTCAATGTTGCCATAGAAACTACACACTCTTAACATAGCAACCACACACGGTTACCGTAGCAACTCCAAATCACTACCTAGCAACTAAACACTGCTACCATAGTAACTACATACTGATACTATAGCAACTACACACTGTTACCATAGCAACTACACACTGATACCATAGCAACTACACACTGTTACCATGGCTACTACACACTGTTACCATAGCAACTCACCATAGCAACTACACACTGTTACCATAGCAACTACACACTGTTACCATAGCAACTACACACTGTTACCATAGTAACCACACACCGTTACCAGGAACGAGAGCGAGGGTCGACAAGGGGCTATTGCGATGCAATCTGGACAAGAGGGCATATTTCAAAACTGGTTCCACTTGGAGGAAATTTCAGAAATGCTTTTATCAATCCAATTTTGGAAATTTTAGAATGTTTGAACTTTATACTTTGAAAATCTGCAATATTGGAGGCATCAATCTACTCTATCATGCAAAAATAGCTCATTCTATCATCGACACTAAAACAATCCTCAAAAGTGTGCTCTACTTCATAACGTCTCTAGATTAGGCCTTTGCTTGAACTAAACCCAAATTTTGTGTGTTAGTATATGAGATTTAATTTTTACAGACTGATATAAAGCCCAATCAAGGAGAATGAGCTAACATGGGGAAAATGTGGTTTAAAATTTTTTGTCACTCCGTAACAAAAAAGTGTCAAAAAGTTATCTATTCTCTTAACTACACGCCTATTGCATTCCATATTTTCTGAAGTATCTCAGTGACCTTACACTAAGATTTTCCAACATTTTCGATTGATAACATTATAATTTAAGAGGAGATATGATGAGCCAAACTTTGGTCACTCCGTAACGCTGTGTTACGGAGTGACAAATTCAAGGGACATTGTCACTCCGTAACGAATTTTGTTTATTGACATTGGACACATACTGTCCAATCAGGTTGTCATAAATACACCAAAGGAGTTTGCAACCTATGCTGACAGTCTTCTCAAGTCAATCAATGTCGTGTATGTTGGAGATCTAGCCTCAGGTATGGAAGAGGAGTGCAGAAGAAAGCAAGACCAGTTCCAGGAACCTTGAAAGTGCACCACATTGTCCGTTCTTTCAAAGATAACAGCTGCATCCTTACCTTTAGGGGCACGTCAGTTGATGGATCTTTGATAAAGAAGATAGAGTATGCCGATGAATCATCTGCTCAGACGACTTCAACAGCAGTTATTGGAGAGGAGGAAACACCATCATCTTCTAACAGCTGTGAAACTTACAACATTGATCAATTCGTGATTGTTAACTGGGAGGGTGAACTTTACCCAGGAAAAGTTATTGGCAAGCCAGACAGCAGTAACCTTACCGTTAGGTGCCTTGTACCAGCTGGAAAACCTGGATCAATCTGGAAATGGCCTGACAAAGAGGACGTCCATGATTACGAACTTAGTGACGTGAAAGGAGCTATTGGTATGCCGAAGCTCTTGCCGGGAACATGGAGAAGAATAGAGTTTGAAGTACCTGAACTTGCTTATAAGTGGGGTGTAAAGGTTTGAATTTTCGTTAATCTGTGTACATTGTACAGTTTATAACTTTAAACAAATAAGCCCAGATTTTTAAACATTTCATTATGATATGTCACTCTGTAACAGATTCTTAACCGAGTAATATTTGTAGAAAGTTAAACCAATGAGACTGATTTTTATGCAGTTGTTAATATTTTTCAAACAGTGATTTAAATGTGCTGTATTTTAAGGGAAATTTACAGAGTTGTAAGCTCCAGGCCCCAGGGTTGATTTTTTATCACATGATCGTATTTTTATTCATAATTGTGATCAAGACTAATGAATTGTACCAGATTTGATTTATTTC